TACTACATGAAAATGAAAATTAATGAATACACTGTGTACAGTAATTTACCTGATAAGACAGACCTCAGAAAAATACTTTATGAGAGCTTTTATACTTTTATAAAGCTGTCTATAATGAAAATTAATTAACTAAGGATTTTTTTGCCCTGCCAGGGTGTGGCCGAGTTATCCGGAGTGCCGGGTTATCGAGAGACGAGTTTTCGAGGTTCTACTGTATTTATAATTTATTAATATATACTAATTTACGTACCGTTTTATTATGTTAATTATATTGCATGTAATAAAAGCGGCAACTAACACCTGTAATCCGGTTAAAATTAACACTATTTATTAAAAGAATTAACTTTTTTAACAGCCACCTTCGGGGAATAAATTATTATACAGAATAAAATTTAATAACAACATTTAAACTCATTCTGGTTCCTTTAATCTAGTATTCAGTAGTCTGCGAGTAGCTTCAATATATTCACAGTGCTGATTTATCCTGTTATCAAAAACGGGAATCCTGTAAAGATGGTTCACATGTCTTGATCATTCCTCAGCAAGGAAAAACCCATTGGATTTCTATTAAAAGCGATAATAATATTGGCTAAATGAGATATTTCTCCATAGGTACTGTAGAGAACCCTGTTAGTTGTATCAGTCTTGTGTGGAAGGTCGTTGTTCTCAGTAGAATTGACTGGTGTAAGATAAGGTCGGATGAGGCTCTTGATGAAGTTTGTCGGGTAGCCTAGGACAGTGGAAGTGAGCTTAATACGTTGGAACGCTTTATACCTGGAATGAACATCAGAACAATGAGTATCATTTATTTTTATAAGTACTCTGAATGCCGCTATCTTGGAACCAAACGGATCGAGGGAGTTGATGGAATGAATAAGGCGTTGTACGTGCTCTTCCCGTAGACCTCGGTAGTCCTTATCATATTGACTGTCTAGCTTTCAATAAATATTTCATTATGATCTATAGGAGTTAATTCTCTGCAGGAGTGGATTACCTTCTTAATTGGAATCAATTAATTAATATCAATTTAACAAATGCGAGAATATTGCAAGAAAGTTTTGAGAAGTACTGCATTAAATATGCCAATTACTATAGTTCTTATATAGAAATATTTTAACAGTATCATTTAATATTCTTATGATATTATTTGTAGTAAGTCTTTATATTGTGTAGTCCCGTATGTTGGTCTAGTAGAACCTGTGTAAATCGGAATTGCACTCTACGGAATATTTCCCGTTTAGACAAGTTTCCGTTTTAGACAGGTTTCACTTTAATAGATGAAAACATAATCCCATTAATTACTGCTGTTCATGATTCATTGTAACTGAAATATTAGCAAAAAAAGGGAATTTCATGTGCATGTAGGCTCAATAAAATTCAGTATTTCTTTAAAATATGAAAAATAATTTATTAATTATATTAATTACCGATGTATTTTTAAATCACAATTTTAAAATAGAATGTTTTATTCCAAAATATATAAAATTCAGCAAACAGTTGCTAAACTTTCCGGCAACAATTAAAACTGCGTGTGGCACTGTATGTTATATTTTAGTTAAAAATATAAAAAGTTTAATGTTATAAAATGGCAAAAATGCTCAATTTTGAAGATAGTCATGGATTTTATAAAAAAAATTAAAATCCGAATAGTGAGTAAAATAGTCATTAAGTCCGACCCTACTCGAAATATAACACACAGCCCCTTTATCTCCCCACCCTCTCGACCTTTAACCACCAAAATTTAATAGCACCAAACCCTCAAAATACATAAACCTCACTGCAAATTTTCTTCTCACAAACCTCACTGCTTTAAATAGGGTAAACAAAATCGTGCCCCCCCCACATACTAACATCCATACATACAGAAAAAAAACCCGACCTTTTTTGCATATCTCGACATTTTAAGGTATGCCAAGTAATGTCAAGGTATGCCAAGGTAAGTCCAAAAATGCAAAAATCTTCGGGGGGGTTATTTTTTGACCGAACTCTATACTTTCCCTTTCTTATATATAACAAAGCCGGAAAAGTAACAATAAGCATTTTTTTTTTATTGAAGTTAAGATCATTTACAAAAACATACAATATTTTCGAGTCTTTTCTTTATCCATTAACACAACCACAGAAGTAACAGTTAAAATTGGCTTGAAGAAAAACTTCATTGAAAAGACCAATAATAATAGATAAAAAATTCACAAAGTTAAAAACGATATAAAACTTCAGCCTTTCATTGGAGGATCTGACGTTTTGCGTTAAAAACAAAGATACATTTTCTCATCCAAAATTATTGTATATTTTTGTAAATGGTCTTAACTTCAATATAGAAGATATCCTGAGTCATTATGAAAATTTTTTTTAATCTTTGATTGGCCTCTTACCCAATAATAACAATTGAATTATCACTCGTGACACGAAAGTGTGACATCATTGTATTTTTTTCAACACTGCAGCCACTCAGCAAGTTTAAAGTGCCAAGACCGAGAACAAAGTTATTTTGAACTAAAAATTAAAGCAAGTATCCATTTAAATTAATTATTTTGTACCTTAAATTTACAATATAAATTATTTTATTTATATAAATAAACATATATAATTTCATCATACATTATATATATATATTGATAATACACTATATTTTTGCAATTTTTAAAACTATTCTCAACACTACACTAATATTTGTCGTGTTATTCCTTGGTCGTTCCTTGATATTAATTATTTATTATTTTTATTAATGTAGTCATATTATGAACAAAATTATGTTGTTGTTATTATTATTATACAGAGTGGCTCAAAAGTCTATTAACCGAGATAAATTTTTAACATAATTTTGAGCATAGTTAAAGCGGTTTAATATCGTTTTTATGCGATTATTTCCCTTCGAAACGAGAGACTTTATCACTGATATTATTGTGTGTTTGGCAGTGTTATGCACAGTATACACAAAAGCTTTGCACAGTTATGACTGATAAAATCGTATAGCTTGACTTTGAGGGTATGAGGTCATGCAGAGAAGTCTCACAGTTTTCCTCAGGTTATTTCGATTGTGTCATCACCCTTGCAGTATTATACCGTTTCATAGCAGCCGAAATTAAATTTGGCCTCCTTAAAAGAGGATCAGAATTGCCTGACGGTAATGATTATCTATTTTTTCATACATTTTCTATTTAGCTAATACGTAGCAGTAGCAAGATATAGCCTGGTAGTATGGGCTGTTTCTATCTACACTACGAAAATATAGCCTATATTTAAATCTCTTTTATCACTAAAGTATTTTATGATAATAATATTTTATAACCAGGACATCGGAGAAATATATCGTTTTATCAGATTTATATCAATCGTAAATAGAGATATTAAATATAACCTTGGTTTCTTTAGCAACAAAATATGATAAACTAGTTTAGCGTATCTAATCGATGTTAAAATAATAATATAAAGTACAGCTCTTATCGCCTTCTAAACTAAATAGGATATCACGTGTTCTTCAATTCATAAAAGCATTTGAAAAAAATCATAATTCAATATAATTAATAGCAATTCAACTCACTTGAAGCTTCGTGCAGAAGGACGTGAGGACGTTGTTAAATTTCCACACAACATAATAATCACTTGTTGAAATTAATGTTATATTCACATAAAATTTAAATCTTATATTTGAAGTTATTTCTTTATTAATTTTTGTAAACACATATTTATTTGTTTATTTAAATAACCCCGTGCCACAGTCGGTAGATTAACTGGTCTTTCGACTTCCCATCTTCGCTCGTTGCTAAAATCAACTAGAGACAAATGTTACCACCAGGGGTACTGCAAGAGCGCTAGATCGAATCGCTGTGAGGACGAATGTTTCCTTTTTATTGAAAGATATATAACCTTCGAGTTCGATTTCATAATTTTTTATATGCATTGTATTATAAGAATGAAAAAGCTTTTATTTAAACCCAAAACCAGGTTTATGGATAAATAAATGACACTTAATAAAACATTAAACACCTTCCATCGCTGAGAAATGTTTATTTAATAAAATACGTTCGAACTCATTTACACCTCAAGATGGTTTATTCCATGAGGCTGAAAACGTTAGTGTTTTATTAAATAAACATTTCTCAGTGATGGAAGGTGTTTAATGTTTTATGAAGTGTTTTAAAAACGCTGAGTTTGATATTTAGTTAAATAAATGACAATGAACAAAACTGACACAATAGTACAATTATTAAATTCTGCTATTATGTCAATTTATTGTACGTTAAAGATTTATTATACATACAAACAAATTATATTATACATATTAATAATAATTATTATTATTATTATTTGCGTTATTAAAATTTACTTTAAGTGAGAAATTTTTCTATGGTTTTTACTTTCAACTGATGAAATAAATGATTGATTAATCGTTCGCGTGAAAAAATGCAATCGACAAGTAACAAAAAAGTGCAAAAATCTGGAAGTCAAGTAGGACTTGTGACCAGCATTGTCACATCCTATCATCAATGTAACAGAGCACTGATTTAATATATTATCCATTATTGAAAAATAAACATCCATGTTTGGGTTTGTTAATTTTTCGCATACTTTGCTTTCTGCCCAGTACATCAATTGGCAAAGCTTATAGCTTGGATATAACAAACCTCCTCGAGATTTGATGAATGTAAATGTCTTCTCTGGTGCAGCATCCTCGGATTTTGCTGTTAATATATTTTTGCATTCATCACAACCGAGTGATGGCAGTAGATAATAAACAATGTAACCTCCTAAATAATGTAGGATAAACTTAAATGTTTCTGGTGCACAATAATCACGATCTAATAATTCATTATCACTAAGATCTATCAATACATATGATAGGCTTGGATTACAAAGCAAAGTTTCTAAATGTTTTTCCAATTGTTCTTGAACTTCTTTAAATGGTTTTTTATGACTCTGAAGATTTTTTAAAGTAATAAGGACAGATCCAAGATCAGTTTGAATCGATGCTCGTTTGGGAGGACGAACCAAACTGTACACAGTCATCAGTTTGTATAGATATAAGAACTGCACTGTTGTGGAATGAGAATTGCTTTCACTCTCTTGTCTCATCATTCCAAAGAAACGCCAATTTAAAAGAAAGCATAAGTTAAGAGTTTAATACAAGATTATATAATCATTACACTAAGTCAGTTTTGATTGATATAAAAAATATCAGACAATTAATCTTAAAGTATTTATAAGGAAAGGTGGGCCACAGAGAGATCAGTGAATCACAAGCCAAGCCACAGAGAGATAGCCCTCAATGGGTCTCACAAACCCAGCTCAATCTTTAGTTAACGTTTTTTAAATATAAAAATACTGAAAATATTTATATTCTTCCAACTTTTCAGTCCGATCAACATGCGGTAAGAACGTTTTTTTATTTGACTTTACTTGGACTAGATGTGTTATCAAAAGCTTCCAGTCGAAAAATTTACCGGGAAACTCATTACTTCTAGATATTGCGTAATCGCGGAAAGTAATTAAACCAAAAGTATTTTAGTTTTGCGGGCAATTTTACCACGAAATGTTTCTATCAAAACACTTATTCGTTTAAATAACGTCAATAAATATGTAAATTAGAGCTAAATTGGAGCTGAAAAACGACGAAAATAGCGATTATCTAACATTTGTTTACAGTTTTATCTTGATTTACATAGGGGGAGCGATTTTCTTATTGTAGTCAATCTTCCACCAGACATTTCTGAGAAAATGCTTACTCGTTCAAACAGAATCAAACAACTAGAAGTTAGCTAATTAGACCCTAAACGTTATGGAATAATATAAATAAAAGAATGATAGCTACGCGATAATCGTGTTGCTTAGCTATCAAATCATATAAAAATAAACATTAAAAACGCAATTTTGTCATCAATACAGCAAGAAAGAAAGAAAGAAAACAAAGCGCGGAATTTAACGGTGAAATTGTAGTTTTTTACGCGATAGATAAAATTTAATAATTTTATATTAAAACACAGGGTCCGAGAGACCCACTGCGACTCAGTCAAGGACAAAAAGTTACATGACTCACTGAGGATTAAGATTACATAAAAAACATATATTTACCTTTGGTATTGTCTTTTCGGAATCTCTTCCTAGATGGTTCTTCATTTCTTGTGAGCGTTGATCGTTTTTGAGGTACAGACTTACTAACGTACTTAGGACAATTAGGAAAGATTGATGGATATGCATCTGACGTTAATGCCCAGCGATCTCGTGAAATTTCTACTTTCTCTCCATTTATAACATGGAAGTAGCTTTTGAAATAAATTTACTCACAAAATGTACGTCACAAACGTAATATTTACTTGTTAGCATCTTGTCGTCTCGTGATATGCATCGCATCCACTCCTCAATCTTATCGCTAAGAACACGGAAGAAATGTCTCTTCTCGTTACATGACTTATATCCTGCCTTGCATCCTGGCACAAAGCACGTTAGCATTTTTATGCAGCTAAACAAACAATTATTATAGGTCGAAATCACTGACCTCAGTATACACATAGCAAGAACAACGCTCTTCTGCTAACAGTGGCGCCAACTAGCGGCAAATATTGTCTCTAGCTAAGTTTAAACTATCAGTCGAAAGACCAGTTAATCTAACGACTCTGCCCATACATAAATTAATTTTCAGGAGGAGTGTTACATATTTGATAACTTAAATTAATAAATTGCATTAACACTAAACATTTTTGTTCGAGGCATTGTTAGAAAATAATCCATGAATTTTATCCGCCGTTTCTTTATGAACAACATTACTAGTACCTGTTGGTAAACGAAAATAAGCCAAATTCTTACACAAACCAATAATGATTCAGGGTCGCATTTCCCTGCAAACAGTGAGCAAAAATGACTGATGAACTTAAATGTACAGTCGACCCCCCTATAACACGGGTTCCTATAGTTAGGATTCCTATATCACGGCGAAAACATTGCGAAAGTATTCGTACAAACATGCTAAAAAAAACTCCTATAATTCGGTAAAACGTCATCGCCGACTCGTGTCGCGACAAGATTGCACAAAGCGTTGAGTTTAAACGAGCAGCGGACCTACCAAAAACCATTTATTATTTAACGTCCATAAAAATTATATTTATATTAACGAGGTCTCCAAAGTTCAGCGAATTTTTCGCAAAAAAAATAATTTATCAAGAAGAACGCGAGCGCCATTCGATGACAATCTCCACGACGAAAACAAGCTTAAGCAAGTGCGTAATCGAACGGTGCACACTCGGTAAGTAATCCTACAATTTTTTGTTTATAGCATAGTTTATACGGATTATTCCCAAAAAATTTTACGTGTTTTGGAAATGTTGAGTCGAATTAGTCTAGAATCGATTAATTTTATGGAAGAAAACCTTTCAAACAGCCGTAGTCCGTAAAGTGCATACGTGCCGGGTTGTGATTGGCTGGACTTCTAAAAGCTGGATTCATAGAAACAGGAACGTATTTACCGTGTTATAGGGGGGGTCGACTGTATATACAAATTTTTCCATACTAAACGAAGCCTATTTAGTCGAATCTGAACGGTTGTTCTCTTTACAATAAACGAAAGCTGCTCATAATAAACATGAAGACACTGACAATTATCTAATATTTCCGGATAACATGCATGGTATTTAGCGTTGAGTACCCGTCTCTTTCTTATCTAAGAAAAAGATTATCAAACTCAAATGAAATAGAATTTATGCAATATTTCATAACATCTGGGATGAATCAATTAGAAGAAGTGAAATACCAATTCTATTAAATAATCCCTCTAAGTTAGTATACGAACAATTTTTAAAGGTCTTATCGATGACAATTTCTTCAAGGAAAAGTATGCCACAGAATTCAAATTATTTCTGATCCTGTGACAAAAAGGTATGCCACAGGATCAGAAATAATGTTTTTCAAAAAGTTAAGGATTAGTTTAACGAAACGTTTTCAAGGAAACACTAGATCCAATTCAGATCTAATCGCGTATGTCGGGATCGACCTCTCGAGCCCAAAAAGACGACGGAAGACTCAACTCTATTGAGTCAATGTCCTCAAAGCAAAAAGACCCTCTCAAGAATAGAGCATAAGACCAACACGACGTAAATAAAGAGGCTGCTAGCTTTTTAGACAGGTCCGTATGATATTTCTCACTCTTCTCAAAATATCAATTATTGTAATTATTATGCGTTACTCTTAACGTAAGAAATGTAATTTTTGAACGAACCAGTATCAGACAATCGAATTTCCGAATACGTAACTTCATAACGATACTTATTTCTCTTTCATTTAAGAAAAACTTACCTGCTTTTCTCAGCCTTCCGTCTTGTCTGAAAATTATTATTTTCGACTTTTAAAAAATTGATACGCCATCCCAAAGTAGAAGAATTATTAAATAATCTGTCTAATTTCCTTTTTAAATAAATCGGCATAGTGGATAACACTATTGTATCGTCAGCAAATTGGAGTAAATGCACATTGTATTCTCCCATAGAAATGGAATCTCTGCTTATATCATCAAAGGCTTGAACCATAGCATTAACATAGCTGATAAACAATAAGGGACTAAGGGAATCATCTTGTGTTAAACTTTTCTCTAACGGAATATCATCAGTAAGCCCAGCACTAGTAGAAAGCCTTTCTTTCAGTCATGAAAATAAACATTCAATAATCTTAATAAATTTATCAGAAATTCCAAGCAGCCTTAATTTAGATACTAAAACTTCCAATACAACACAGTCGAAGGCTTTTTCGTAATCTATAAAAGCAGACAATAAACGTTGTCTTTTCTTTGAGAGTTGTCTACAAATTAATGTATGAAGGATTAAAATATTGCACAAAGTATTTTCCGTGGTTGGAAAGCAAATTGTACTCGTTAAATAAGATTCCTCATCCTAAGCGATATACCCAATCTTTTCGCCAAAATAGATGTAAAAATTTTTCGTAAAACAGGTAACAACGATATTAGCCGAAAGTTAGCGTGTTCATCGATTAGACATTTTTCATGAATAATCTTTACCTCCAACTATTACTTCGGAACCATAGCAAAATCGTAACACGATTAAATAGTTTAACACGGTGAGCGATTAATGTGTCCCTAGAATAAACGATTAAGGACGAAGAAATATTGTCTATCTTAGGAGCAAAACCTAATCGCATCTTTTGGATTGCAATATTCACCTCTGAAACTGAAATAGGAAGATCCAAAAAGGGATTAACCACTAAAGAACCCACCGACAACGACAAGGGCGACATCAAAAATGAATTCGATTCATTTAAACTAAATAACTATTGATAATAATTAAACCAGTCGGCCAAAGAAATCTCATAGTCTGATATGCTTTTAATTCCGCGAAATCGGCCAACTCGATACCAAAAGGTCTGTTATTTTTAACCTTTGTCAGTTGTAAGGCAAAATTACAAAAATACTTTCTCTTTTTTTCCTTGACAAGTGAATAATATACTTTTTTCAATTTTAGAAAAGAATCCAGGTCAACCTGATCGTTAAATCGATGGAATAGGCCAAGGGTGTTGTTCCTCGCCCTCTTCAGTTTACGACAAAACTCTTTTGATTACTGTTTCTGATATCGTGTAGAAACATTAATAATTACCGTATACATAAAGCAGGTAACATAAAAACATATAAACATATACTTGATTCATAAACACATCAGTTATACGACAAATAAATTAACATTGTGCCACTTTTATATATATACAATATACAGTCGACCCCCCTATAAGATCATTGATTTTTCCGTTTTATCTGAATTACATGTTGTACGAGTCACTTAGATTTTACAAATACGTGTGCCGGACTGTGAATGGCTCACATATTTGTAAAATCTAAGTGACTCGTACAACATGTAATTCAGATAAAACGGAAAAATCAATGATCTTATAGGGGGGTCGACTGTATAAACAAAAAATAGCAATTCTGTGTATATTTCAATGCAGAGAAATAAATTAATAAATATTTGATTCGTGTTACAGAATTACAGATGAAGCTTTCAGCTTTCTTTAGAAGTTCTTTGGTAATTTCGATTCTATTTCAATGCATGCTACTATGTGAAAACACGTCCATCAAAGACAAAATTACAGGAGTTACGATTAAGGTTTTGGATAAACAGGTTAAAGCATATTTAGGAATTCCGTATGCAACACCTCCAGTTGGAAACTTGCGATTCAGTGAACCTCAACCTGTTAAAGATTGGGATTTTGTTTACAATGCAACACAGAAACCTCCTTCCTGCATGCAAGAACCAATGTTTTTTGACCCCGAGTGGCCAAATCGTCATCCTAAAGAAGTAAGCGAAGATTGTCTCTATATTAATATTTGGGTCCCTGCTTCCACCACTTGTGGCGATAAACTCGCTACTATGGTCTGGATCTACGGAGGAAGTTTCAGTGTTGGATCTACAAGTATGGATATATATGACGGATCGTTTATTGCATCAATGGGAGAAGTCATCGTTGTTTCCTTCAATTATCGTCTAGGAGCATTCGGTTATGCAAATTTTGGACAAGACGGTGCAGCTGGGAATATGGGAATGTTGGATCAAGTGATGGCTTTAAAATGGGTTCACGAAAATATAGAAGCTTTTGGAGGTGACAGGGAATTAATCACGGTTTTTGGTGAAAGTGCAGGATCTATCTCAGCTGCTCATCATCTGGTTTCCCCTATGACGAAAGGCTTATTTAAACGAGCTATTCTACAAAGTGGTAGTAACTATCATAACTTAGTTATCGTAGAACCTGAAGATAATATTGAGACAACCTCAAAATTGTCTAAAGAATTAGGATGTAATGAAGAAGATATGTTAGAATGCATGAGGAATGTGAATTCTGTTGACATAGTAGCTGCTGAAAAAAAACTAAAGAAGGAGAAGAAAACCTTGGCAATCTTCCTTCCACAAAGTGGATCGCCATTACTTCCCGAACATCCATTTCAAAATGTTGATTCCGGTAAATTTCACGATGTAGATGTTTTAATTGGAGAAACAAGGGATGAAGGTTCTCTATTTTTACTTTTTAATAAATTAGAATTAATAAAGGAAGACGAACCAGTTTTATCTAAATCTGAATCCGAGTCTATACTGGGTGATTCTTATAAAGTGAATAGCGAATCTGTAAATCGCATCATGCGGGAATATCTGGGAGATATTGCAGATGAAGCTTCTTTTACGATTACAAAGCAGACAATTAAAGCAATAGGACACGGAATATTTACTTGTCCGATTTTTCATTTAGCAGAGAAACTTTCTGAAAACAATAGAAAAGTGTTTCATTACACATTTAATCACACTCGGATCAAATCCCCAATAAAGAAATGGATGGGGGTGCCTCACTTTCACGACGTATCTTTTGTTTTTGGAAAACCATTCAGCAGAGTAAAAGATTATACAACAGCAGAAATGGAATTCAGCAAAAGAACAATTGAATTATGGACATCGTTTGCAAAAACAGGGTAAGTAAAGGTATAGAAACACTAGGTATTTTCTTGTCAGAAAAATGCACTTTATCATAGAAAAACGAATTACTTACGTATTTACGTTGAAATGGAGCTAAAAACATAATTCAGTACTGCTTAACTTTTGTTTTATGAGAAACACAATTATAGGAATCGTTTACGAAAGTCGTCTAAACAACACTAGGAACGTCATATTAATCGAACAGTAAGCTATAGCAAAAATAGAATAAGAGATAACACACCCAAATGAAAAATATTTATTGAAAACGTAAGAAAACATCTTGAATTGCATGATAACACTCATAAAAATTATAAGATTTCGGCGATGAAATATTTCTTATAGAAATCTGAATCGCATTGTTCAACATGATATCTGGGTTAAATACAATATCGTATATAAAAATGTATAAGATTTTCAAAGATAAACCATTGCGTTGTGCATGGAGTGTCATTGATAGAAAGAAACGGACTAATTAAGTAAGCATAGCTAATATTAAATTAGCAATAAAATCGTGCTAGTCATCTATCTAACTCCTTCGGGGAAAATATTTGAATTGAAATCATGCCTTCTGGTATAGGCCCGATACCTGTAGTTCGATCGTAGTTAATAGGGGTTTCCTGCCCCAAGTTTTCCATATCTGGTCTCAATTTTAACACATCTAACTCTATTCTTGAGATTAACGAATAACAGACAGTGGAAATTTATAAATCTACTTTTTTTTCAAATTATAGACCAACAGAACAACAGATCTCTATACCCATTCAAACAACTGTCGACTTGTAATTTATGGCAGTTTTTCATGTTCAAGATGAATCTTTAAATTTACACGCTTTCACATTTCACTACTAATCAAATAATTACAACTGTCAAGTTATATGAATTATTTGATAATTTGAAATTTTTTAACTGTTCCTTCGTGACACAACCCCTTCACGACATAATGGTACAGGTCGAAAGAGTAATGGTATTTCATGGCTTTATGTCGTGTAAGAATAAAACAAAACGACTTTTTCCATAGGATCGGGATGTTGCATTAATTGTACTAAACTTTGCATTAATTGTTTCAATTGTAGTAAAACGCAACAGTCGCCTAGGTTTGCGTAATGAAAGAGAATTTATATATATATAATATATATACATATATATTGGGTACTTCTGACATAGCTAAAGGGGTTTAGACCCTGGTAGCCCCAATGACTCAGAGTTTGTCCATCAGGAACAGTGTTTAAATTCGTTTACAAACCGGAATATCTTTACAGATGGTTGTCCAGTATGCTATACACGGTATAGCTGACAAGGTAAAATTTCACATACCTGAAATATGCTATAGAAATATTTGTTGGACCTACATAGCAAAATGTCATTGTTAATTTGCTTTCTAAAATTATAATGAAATTTTAAGATTTTTTCAAATAAAATGAAGTCCAACCATGATTCAAATAAAAAAACAAATCCAGCGACGAGTTTCATACTTTTCCCGGAAACGTTTATGGCGTCATCTGTTTTCATATTTTATTTTTTAAAAACTTTATATTTTTAGCTATTGTAAAATGGCAAGAAACTTATGTTTGAGGGCAGAGATTGTTTTAGAAAAGTCGTAAATGCTAATAACAAGTAAAATCGTCATTAAGTCAGATCCTACTCGAGATATGGTACGATCCCTTTTATCTCCCCGCTCCGTCGACTTAATTAAAACCACCAAAATTTAACAGTATCAATCCCCATATACACAAACTTCCCTGCAAAATTTCAGAATTTGTCACAAAAAGCAATGGAGTTATTAAGCTTTAAATAGGGTGAACGAAATCGTGACCCCCCACACACTAACATCCATACAGACAGAAAAAATCCCCGAATGTTTTCGCATTTCTTGACGTTTCAAGGTGCCTTTTTGTAATAATTATTATAAAATACAAAAGCCTTGTTTTATCAGCACTTGTGAGTTTTAAAAAAATGTAAATTTCGATAACAACTAATATTTTTAAATCTCAGGCCATTAGAAATATGACAATTCTATACTTCTATATCTTTTCCACTTGATATATAATTTTAACGAAAAATGTAACAGCATAAGGCCCCATGTATAAACAGTGCTGGCCCGAGGCAAGTTTTCGGATGGAGCGAAATCCTATTATGGAGTCTCCCTTGGTTGCCCTTAATTTATACTCTTTAATTTTCTTTACCACTGAGGCGCCCCCTAAGACTTAGCGCCTGGAGCGGCTGCTCCGTTCGCCCTATGGTAGGGCCGGCTCTGTGTATAAAAGTATTCTGTCAGCTCCAAAAATTTGATCAATGGGGTCGTGATTTAAAAAGCTAAATATAGGACAATTCAAACTCACACACATCCGCACACATAAATATCTATATAAAAATTTTTATTCCTTTTTTTCATTCTTTTCGGAATTAGAGGAGCTTACAGTATCCAGAAATGCAAAACATTCAGACTCATCCGATAACAAAACTTCCCTTTGTTAATTTAATAATCGAGAGAGAAATTGCCAAGATTACTGTTAATTAATATGTTCTTGAAATTGTCTTTTTAGGAAGCCTTCGTGTGAAGGAATGGAAGAATGGTTAGAATTTGATGAGAAAGAACGAAGATCTCTGTCTCTTACTTTAGGAAATATCCATCTTACAAAGGCAGAAGAGGAAAAATGCAGATTTTGGAAAGACTTTTACGGTTATAATTGAATAAACGTAGGATGAAATTGTGAATACTGTTTAAATCACAATATTTGTGTCTTCACACATCTCTGTACAGTACATTCCCCAATTTCAGCTAAAATATTGTGAAAGATATAAAAACAAGAAAAAGAAAAACTTAAAAGCAATGAAAAATAAATTACTGTCATATAAATTCTTTAATGTTATTAGATCTTATCTTTTCACTGTCATTTAAAATAACTTCAGATTTAATAATATTAATTTTTTTTAATTTAGTGGGGTTTCCTCCGATAATTTGTTCAAACTACAAAAACACTGTAAAGACTATCTAAGTATAATTTTATTTCAAATTCAAGTGCTGCATCACGGCTATGGTACATGCTGTTGCTGGGATTTTATACTCTTTCGGACCAGTGCCGTAACTAGCCATTCCTGTGCCCTGTGCAAGAATTTGCATTTAGGCCCTTTAATTAATTAGGTTTGGAAAAATAGTAAAACAAATACATGCATTTTGGTTCCCCTTTACAAGTGGGCCCTGTGCGGGTGCACCTGTTGCACCTGCCTAGTTACGCCACTGCTTTTTTCACCCAGCAGTTATTTAGAGGGCTTTTTCATCAAGCTCATTCCGGGTTCGGCCATGCCCACTATGAAGCAGTGAGGAACATCCATGACATTTTTCAACCGGTCCAAATTCTATTTCCAAACTCCTATAAGCCAAGGTAAACTAACATATTAACCTTCTCATGACGTTTTAGAATTATCACGTTTATAACTAACGAAAAATAAGATAAGCATTTTAGTGCTCTTATGTGTTTCTTTAACAACTGCCTTATGGCTACACTGCAAGAGATTGTTTCTATTTATCCAATATCTATGCGAAAAATAATAATTAACTTTAATTATCCTAACGTAACAGTAGGCCTAATTGCTATGTAGAAGCACAAAAAATACTTACCTTTTCCAGGAGAGGGAGATCTTTTGTTCCCTCACATGGTACAGAACTCGGAACATGGTTACTAATTAATATGGTTGGGAAGCTACTATTGTTCTCACCCTTCGTTTTCGTTCTAGGAATAACTATTCCCGATAGAGCTGCGTTACTGTCGTCTTTTATGCAAAATTGGAGAAAGTCGCATTAGCACGTGTGTATTACTTTCCCGGCTGTTAGTATAACAGAGGGAAAGTATGGCAATCGGTCCAAAAATGCCCCCTCCCCAAGATTTTTACATTTTTGGACTCAGAGCACCTTGAAACTTTGAGAAATGTAAAAAGTTTCGTGGAGGGGGTAATATTTGTATGTATGAACGTTAGTTTGTGGGACTTTGACTTATTCCATTAATTTATTCCGATCTGTCAAACTTAATAAGCAGATTTTCCATAGATGTTAAACATGATTTCCAATGTTTGATTATTTTGACGAGAACGAGCAGACAATAAACATTTATAAAAACTATAGAAATTGGTTAAAAAAAAATTATATCTAATGGGTTTTCCTCAGATACCCTGTTGCGAGTGGTTTGCTACAAATCTTTGTGTTAAAGAGAAACCATTAATTCCATGTAAGGATTACCTACCTGCACGTATTAAATATTGAATTTGGGATTTTAATATTCATATTATTTTTTTATTATTATTATTGGAAAACCTATGTTAAAGTACAGAATTGTCCTATAAGTGTAAACGATAATAATCTACAAATGTATTTATATTTTCCTGTTTACTGTATACATATTGATCAATTTGACCAGTTTATAACTCCTGATAACAGAAGCATTAACCCACTTGTATTCAAGCCTTCATGGCCTTGTATTTGAGGTGACGCACAATTAATTAGGACCTGCTGATATGAAGGTGCAAAAGCATTAGTGGGGTTAACGCTGTCTTATATGGCTACATCTCTACTTCATCGTCACAAATGTACCTGTTTAAATTACTCGAACTTATTAAAAATTTACGCACATATAAATAATATGTAATCGAATTAAGTGGTCCAAACAGAGTGGCCAAAAAGTCAATTTACTGACATAAATTTCAAGATACTTCTGAGAGGAGTTCAGTAGGATTGGAAATGGGTGCATGTCGCTCGAAATGAACTACTAATGAGTGGTTCATTTCGAGCCACTGAATCGCTAGTATTAGTAACACAGTAAAACCTGTTTAAACTGGACTCGCACGGTATGGAATATTTTTCCGGTTTGAGAGGTTTCCGTTTTATTAAGGTTTTATTTGAATAGCTTTCATTCTACATATGTTTTATTCTATAATATATCTTAATAAATGAAAAGACTTAAGATTACGGTATTATATAATCGTAACACAGTAAAAATCAACCGTTATATCAGGTTTATAAGTGATAAATGGTGATATCGAATATAACTTTTATCCTTCTACAGATATAGCAATAGTTTGACTCCAGTTTTCTCCCTTAAATAAAACATTACAACATCGAACTTTACCATTCCAAGTGAACAGAGATCGACAAGATAAATAAAATTTTTAAATCATATGACACAATAAAAATAATATTTATTTAAAATTTAAATACAGGTAATAATACAAAATAGTCAAATTTTAAATTAACGTTTATTTGATTTAAAAGATATCAGCTATATGAAAAAATATTAAATTTTTACGCGATATTCTATTTAGAATGAATGGTCAATAAATAACAACAATTTTAAAAACATTACATTGCATAGATATAAAATTTAATCCAAATTTTACTCATGTTACAGGATAACAGATGAAGCTATCAATTTTCTTTCGAAGCGCTTTGGTAATTTGGATTTCATTTCAATGCATGCAACTATGTGAAAACACGTCCATCAAAGACAAAATTTCAGGGATTACAATTAAAGTTTTAGATAAATACGTCAATGCATATTTAGGAATTCCATATGCAACAACTCCTGTTGGTGACTTACCATTTAGGAAAGATCAACCTGTTAAAGATTTTGTTTATAATGCAACGCAGAAATGCCCTTCCTGCATGCAGGACCCAATTTTTATTGACTCCGAATGGTCGAATCGTGATCCTAAAGAAATAAGTGAAGAATGCCTGTATATCAATGTTTGGGTTCCAGCATCCACTACTTGTGGCGATAAACTCGCTACTATGGTCTGGATTCACGCTGGAAAATTTATTTCCGGATCCTCAAGTATGGATATATATATATATATATACACGATGGATCAGTTATTGCATCAATAGGAGAAGTTATCTTTGTTTCCTTCAATTATCGTCTAAGAGCATTCGGTTATGCAAATTTTGGACAAGACGATGAAGCTGGGAATATGGGAATGTTGGATCAAGTGATAACCTTAAAATGGGTTGATGAAAATATAGAAGCTTTCGGGGGTGATAAGGACTTGATAACAGTTTTCGACAAAACTGCAGGATCTATCTCAACCGCGAATCATATGGTTTCTCCCATGACTAAGGGCTTATTCAAACGAGCTATTCTGCAAAGTGGTATCAACTACCAAGAATTAGTGACTGTAAAACCTAAAGCTAATATCAAGTTAACGAAAATGCTATCTAAAGAATTAGAATGTAGTGAAGAAAATATGTTAGAATGCACGAGAAATATGAATTATATTAACATAGCAGCTGCTGAAAAGGAATTAGTGAAAAAAATAACATCTGCGCAACTTTCTTTCCACAAAAAGCATCGCCATTTCTTACCGAAGATCCGTTTGAAAGTGTTGATTTCACGATGTAGATGTTTTAATTGGAGAAACTAGAGATGAAGGTTCTGTTTTTTTTTTTTTTTTTTTTACTTTTATAAAAGTCAATTACTGTATTAAGAATTTAGTTTTTACTTTTATACAAATTAAAATTAATAAAAGAAGAACCAATTTTATCGAAATCAGAATCTGAGTTTATACTGGGTAATTCTTATAAAGTAAATACAGAATCTGCAAACCGTATGGTTCAAGAATATCTAGAAGATATTGGAGATGAAGCTTCTTTCAGAATTGCAAAGTAAACAATTAAAGCAATGGCACACGGTTTATTAAAATGTCCGATTTTTCACTTAGCAGAAAAACTTTCTCAAAACAATAGAAAAGTATTTCATTACACCTTTAATCACACTCGGATCAAATCCCCAATAAAGAAATGGATGGGGATACCTCAAAATGAGGTAAACCCATCCATTTTGAGGATGTGTATTGTTTTTGGGAAATCTTTCAGCAGAGTAAATGATTACACAGGAGAGGAAATGAAATTCAGTAAAAGAACAATTAAATTATGGGCATCGTTTGCGAAAACGGGGTAAGTAATTGTTATAAATAAAAAAAAGTTTTATTAATTAAAAAATTTCTGTTTTAAATACATTTTACTGATACACATCGAATGTATTTTGTAGTAGTTAACAATTTTTACAGAAGTAATTTCATAAAATTGAATATTCTGTTGATCACCTTTTCTTTATTTTTCTATATGTTGTATTTCTTACTGTTATATATTCATTTCCATAAAAATTGGCGCACCAAGGTGTGTCGGAATGGAACGAAATTGTACGTGTGAGAGTGTAAGTGATATAAGAGGTTATACTAGGACATTGCGCAACTTTGTCGTGTTGCAGTAGCATTGAAACGGAGCCGGAAAGAAAGAAGCGATCTCTGCACCTGTTACGCATAGAAAAGGCGCAGGTGAACTTTGAAGTTGCCACCATAAAAGAGATCCTTCTATCTGCCGGCCATGGAAAACACAATCTTTACAGTTGCGGACACGAAGAGGTAAGTGCAAGGATTGTGTATTGTTCGTTTTTAGCGTCTATTTTCCTTTATGCTCCATGCAATGCTGTTTTCATTTTTGACCACTGAGCCTAAATTCCGTTACATGCTCTCAGTCCATCAGAGAGTCTTTCACTTTAATACCTCTTTACTGTACATCGAAAACGAAGTCATGGGCTCCTTTTACTTTCTCGGATATGTTATATGTAACAAAGGGAAAGTATGGCAATCAATCATAAAATGACCCCCAACATTTTTACATTTTTGAACTCAGGGGACATTGAAACATCGAGAAATATAAAAAAAATTCTTGGTGATTTTTGTATGTATGGATGTTAGTGTGCACGTGTGTGTGTGTGGCAGGATTTTGTTCATCCTTTTTAGAGATTAATAACTAACTGCTTTGCCTTTTGTAGAAAATGTCTGAAATTTTGTAGGGTGGTTTGTGTATTAGGAATTAATGTAATTAAATTTTGAAGGTTAAAGATCAAGAGAGTGGGATATAAAAGGGGTTGTGTGCCATATTTTGAGTAGGATCGAATTTAATGACGATTTTTCTGGTTATTATCATTTACAATTTTTGATAAAAACACATTAGCTTCAAAATTAAGTTTATTTTTGCCATTTTATAATAATCAAAAGTATAAAAAATTTTTAAAATAAAATTTCATAACAGATGGCGCCACACGGGAAGTTTTAAATGTTGCCCGATAAGTTAAGCAATACGTTATTGGAAATTTTTACATTTAAATATGCCCTCATTATATTTCTGGATTCCTTACATTTTTTTAATGCATCCATAGTAACCATGTGTTGTTGTATTAGCCAATCGGAAGTAACGATCTAACGAGCCAGTTAGTTTCAATCTCTGCTTTCTCATAAGAAGTATGCTTGATGGGGGATTTTCTACTATAGAGTAATAATTGAACTGAAAGTACAAATGAAGAATATTACTCTTAATATTTTTTAAAATTATTATTATTGTAGGAAGCCTTCGTATAATGGAATGGAAAAAGAATGATTAGAATTTGATGAAAAGGAACGAAGATCTCTCTCCGACTTTAGGAAATATCCATCTTACAAAACTAGAAGATGAAAAGAGCAAATTTTGGAAAGAATTTTATGATTATAACTAAATTAAATTAAATTTTTTTTTGTGGAATTATGATTGTTGTTAAAAATCACATTTGTATTCTCAATAAATTTCTGTTACAGGTCTAATATTTTGGCACATTTTTACTTTTTAAATTTGGAACAACACATAACGTATGTAAAAATGAAACGGTGGAAAATATAAAATCTTATAATATATAACACTAACCCATACACAAAAATTTTACGATATAACTTAATAGTAAATAAAAATTAATTTATGTTAGCACTGCCATGTTTTCATAAAAGTACCGCCATGCATATAATATTGTGTTACCGTGTTTAAAGTTAATACATTTGCCAGCCAGGCAGGCCTTATATACTGTATATCTAAGACTTCCAGGGTCCTAATATGATCTGTTCGGAAAGATTGCCTTATTAACCTGGCATTTTGGAGATCAGCACGCACGTCAGGATCAATGGCATAAGTGGACAGAGCAGTTGTATGCCTTTTGTTTACAATGTCATACCGATGTTCTTGCACCTCTTTTTGTACTGAGCGTTTAGTGTAACCAATATAAACTAAATTCCTTTGGAACCTGTTGTCCCTCACTGGACACTACACCCCTGGGGCTCTACGTTCATTGGTCTTGTCTCTCCCGTTGAGTAATAACCTACATATCGTGTGGGACTTTTTGTATGCAAGCTTGGTACCTGTATGGTCAGTAATTTCTTTATATATGATGTTTAATTGCTGGTTATACTCTATTATAGTGCGCATAAAGTTAGGGTTGCATTCATGACTTCTGTTGGAAGTCCCTTGGGTGTTAGAGATGTTGCGTGCAGCTAGTTGGTTGGAATAGGCGCGGGTTAAAAATCGTTAACATTCGGCTTAGTTTTTCAGAAAACAATCTACGTATCTCTTATAAACAATGTTCGATATAAACCCAGGTATGTCTTTTCCCTCCAACTGATGCACAACCAACTCTCACTGGTCACCCGAAAGGGGACTGGTACTCCCCATTTTTGTAAATATATGCTGTTATTAAATTGGAACACCGAAGTATAACATATGAGGTGTGCGCGTTCTAAGATCTGTATACGTTGCGCAGGTGCCCCAAACCTGCTTAGTAAAAGATCCTAAGAGTACAGAAGCACAATTGCAACTTTACCGAGGGGTATAGCTTCGCAAATAACTTAGGTGTGTTTGGTGAGGAAACAAATCCTCCCTTGTTTAATTTCAACCTCTTGGCCAGGAATGTATCAATATGTGTAAATCGTGTGACCCTAGCCTGTAACCTGTTTTCTTAACCATCTCTGACCGGTTCACATTCTGTGTCCATGAGGGTACTTACAGATTTCTCTTGCATTAGTAAATGCATGAGAGATCTGTAAGTACTCTCTTTTAGTAGAATGAGAGCGCTGATATTTCTTGGTTTTTCGTAAAAGGCGCCAAAAACCGCTATCTTGGGCCTTGTTATTAGCGTAGTCATACACTGTATTTTCTTCAGACTAATTAAGGAGCAAACAAAACAAAAGCACATTATAGTAGTGTGCACTAAACAAAATATACATCAACATCTACAATGTTTAGACTGCACGTTGCAGGCGTTAGACACGTGAATATAATGGTACAACTTCACTTGAGCACTCCATGATCAGGCACCAACATGTGACTAATTAGCAGTATTCAGTGCTTTTAGCCATTCCGATACTGATGGAAAAATTCATAAATACAGCGCCCTCATTACTTAGGAATATAAATTTGATATTAGATATCATATCTATAAATGTCCTTACTCCACATATTTATCACTTAGAACAAAAACAGCTGTTACACTATTCATGGAAGAAATTTTTAAAAATAATAAAATTAATTACCTCGATACATAATATAAAATTATTTATAGCTCCGAATTTAAAATATTAATTTATTTTTCATTTAAAATATAGAAAACGTCATACAAAAATATAATTTTTATGAAATTTATAGATCATACACTATATTTTCTATCAGTGTTTTATCAGACATTATCTCTGATAAAGCACTGACAAAATTATTATAAATAGAAAATGTAACGATTAAGTATAATCATTTAGAAAGCTATAAGAATTTATACGTAAAGTAAAACAGGTACAAAGTTTTTGTTGTATTTTCTATATTAATTATCTTATTTATTCTTAACTTACAATTGTCTTTCATGCTTTATTAGTGTACACTGTACTGTACATCAGTGGTGTCCAACCCGCGGCCCAAGGCAAGTTCCAATGCGGCCCAATAAACGTGTAAACAAAACCGACAAATTCTTTTATTACAGTATTTATTTTTTTTCAACGGCATAAACCTCAAAAAAGAAGTTTCTCAAAGCCGTAAACTTTTATACATATTTTATTTTTTTAATAGAAAGGAAATATTTTCAAATATTTGGAGATGTGTGAATGAGGAAGAAATACTAAATAAAGCTGAAGTCGTGACTCAAAGGATTATAGCCCCAAATTCGGGAAAAGAAGAGAAAGGCAAAAAATAAAAAGAATTGAGAAAGGTTGGAAAATTAAGGATCAATATTTGCATAACAGAAGGTCTATTTAACTTTTACACCTTTTTATTTTTTGACCTTTCTGTCCTTTCTCCAAATTTACCTTTGAATACCAACTCCAGCTTTATTTAGTATTCCTTCCGGGGTTGCATGATTTGGCAACTTTGCACCAAATTTGGCTACCCTTTTTTTAGTTTGGCGTAAAAAATATCATTTGGCGCATTGGCTACATTTTGGGCTACATATTATTTAAAAATATATTTGTTGAATAAAAATGCACTTTAAAATGGCGTTTCGTTGTTTTTTTATTATTATTATTAATTAAAGACCCAAATAAAACAAATAAATTTTTATTTTTGTCCTTTACAATAAATAAGTTTATCTATTTCTAAGTAGAAAGTTAAAGTGTCTGTAGAAGTAATTTTTTTAAATATCCTTTTTCGTGATAAAGTTTTAATACTTATTACTATAATCTAGACATGTAAATCCTTAAATATACAAGTATATTTAAGGATCTGGGCCACAAGTTTATTGTGGACCAGAGAAACAGAAAGGTTGGACATTCCTGCTGTACATAATACTTTAATCATAAACAATATGTAATATTTTTTTGTTTCTTAAGTGCAGACGGTATTGCCTCAACTTTATACGTCATACAAGTAAGTAAAGTACCGTTTGGAACGTCGTGCTGTGTATTATTCCTTTACAATTAAGGGGTAGATTTGAATATGCGTTACATAATGTGGGGTGAATATGTTCGATAGCGTTACGTAATGCGTGATTTTGTAAAGTGTAAAAATAGTATTAGGTAATTTATGGACAATCCCTATATTAATTTATATACAATTCCTATATATTAGTTAAAAAATAAAGGTACAGGTACAATGTAAAAATTTTCCAGTGCACACTTTCAAAAAAATTATCTGTTCAGAGAAAATATAATACTAACTGAAAATATATTAAATTTTACTTTTATAAAATTACAGCAGAAAATATTCTATTTTATTTTATTTTAATAGTATATTATGCAATTTGTTTATAATATAGGCGATTACTTCATGAATGGAAGTTTGGCACATGAGCGGAGCGAGTGGGCCAATTTCTTTGAATGCCATAATCGCTAATTAAAAACGAATTGTCATACGATATTTTGTGGTTAGACCACACCTATAACACTATACTTATGGAACTCAAATTCATGGATAAACACAGCGTTTGTGGCACGGCTTTATGGCACTGGTGCCACAAACACTTTGTTTATCCATGATTTTCAGTTTCATACGTATAGTATTATAGGTGTTGTCTAACCACAAACAATTTTTATGTACGTTATAATTTATATAGCGTTGTATATAATATAAGATACAAACTACATCATCGCATTTACAAATAAATACTAAATTTAGATATCACAAATGATACCCTACTTTGAAGTTAGATTATTTTATCAACAAAATATTTAGTTTAACGCATAAAGTTCAGTTATAGTCCTTTATTAATTTTAAAAATATTTTATTCTTAATTTTATGAAAATTTTTAAAATAATTTTTAATAAAAATAATGATTTTCTTGGTGAATAATTATTTTAAATTTTACTTCTTAAATTATGCATATCAAATAATAAAAAAATCAATTTATCAAGTAACTTTTCGGCTCTTCTATGTTCATATTCTACTTGTAAAGAATGTAAACACTGTAGTGATACTTGGCACAATAAAACCAGTAAACACTAATCATGGGTTGGTGCTTCATTAAATGGAGTTATACTTGGCCCCCCTTTTTTTTAAATCTAAACAGGAGTCGGTTTCCTATAGAAAGTCATCCTCGAAAGCATTAATAAAACTACAGTTGTCCCTTGATAATCCGACAGGTATGGGACCAAAGGTGTGTCAGATTACCAAAAGTGTCCGGATTACCGAAAATAATTACATATTTCACATTGTTTTACTAGCAGTAACTTACAATATTCTCTACTCCAACTGTTCGAACAGAACTGCTCACATAAAACACACGAAATGTGTGTCATCGAGTAAGAATTGGATGGGGAGATTCACATCACGACATGCTTCTGTGCAAGCAGACACGTAACGGGGACGGGTACCTTGACGGGAGGTGCGTCGGACTACTGAGCATGTCGGATTAAAAAACGTCGGACTATAGAGGGACAACTGTATTCATTCTCTATTCTTAGTACTAACATTTTGTTATTACAACTGGTTGTGGTTTGCGCTGTCCCACTGGGCTGCCCACGCAAAGTCTTCCTAGTTTTCTTCGTGTTGGTAACACCTAACTAGAGGCCATTTTCCCATAAAAAATCTCTTGGAAGACAGCTTCCTCCTTTTCAAATCGTTCATGCGCCACATTGCCGTGTACGAATAAATAAAAATCAAATATCAACTTTTATAAGATTTTATGTAAAAGTATATCGTGAGAACACTACAATGTCGTTTTACTAAAGACAATTTATTACAACTACAAAAGAAATTCTATATTCAGTGTAAACTGTTGAAAAAATTACACCAGACTTTCTTAAATATATTTAATTAAAAGTATAGTTTTCAACCGACACTTTTAGGAAATGCGAAAACGTATGCAATAAAGAGAAACTTATTAAAGAGAATATTATTATTCTAAACAAACACTTTAAAATCTTTATTTCTGTTACAGAATTACAGATGAAGCTCTCAACTTTCGTTAGAAGTTCTTTGGTAATTTGGTTTATATTTCAGTGCATTCAACAATGTGCAAACACATCCATCAAAGACAAAATTACAGGAATTACGACTAAAGTTTTGGATAAATACATTAATGCATATTTAGGAATTCCATATGCAACACCTCCTGTCGGAGACTTGCGATTCAGTGAACCTCAACCCGTTAAAGATTGGGATTTTGTTTATAACGCAACGCAGAAATCCAATTATTGTATGCAAGATCCAATAAATCGGGAGGTGGAGTGGGCGAATATTGAAGGAAAGGAATTAAATGAGGATTGCCTGTATATTAATATTTGGGTTCCTACTTCGAAAACGTGCGGAGAATCATTTGCTACTATGGTCTGGATTCACGGAGGAGGTTTCAACGTCGGATCCGCGAATATGGATATATATGATGGAGCAGTAATTGCGTCCATAGGAAATGTCATCGTAGTTTCCTTCAATTATCGTATTGGTGCTTTTGGATATGCAAATTTCGATTCAGAAAATGCGGCTGTAAATGCGGGTATGTTGGATCAAGTGATGGCCTTAAAATGGGTCCATCAAAATATAGAATATTTCGGGGGTAATAAGGATTTAATAACTATTTTTGGAGAAAGTGCAGGATCTATGTCAGTAGCAAATCATTTGATTTCTCCTATGACAAAGGGTCTATTCAAAAGAGCGATATTGCAAAGCGGAAGCAACTATCACGAACTGTTTACAGTAAAACCCAAAAACAATATTGAGCTCACTTCAATGTTATCTAAAGAATTAGGATGTAGCGAAGAAGATACGTTGAAATGCATGAGGAATGCAAATCCTTTTGACATAGCAGCTGCTGAACTGAAACTAATGCAAAGAAGACAGGTGGTTTTAAGTTTCCTCCCACAGAAAGGATCTCCGTTTCTTCCCGAAGATCCGTTTCAAAGTATTGATGATGGTAAATTCCATGATGTAGATATTTTAATTGGAGCAACGAAAGATGAAGGTTCTGTCTTTTTACGTCTCCAAAATTTGGAATTAATAAATGAAGAAAAACCGATTTTGTCAAAGTCAGAGTCTCTGTCTCTTCTTAGTAAAATTTTTACGAAGGATGGCGAATCTTTAAATCGCATTGTGCAGGAATATTTAGGAAATGTTGCAGATGATGATACTTTAACAATTGTGAAACAGACAATTAAAGCCATAGGAGATGCACATTTTATGTGCCCAATTTTACATTTAACAGAGAAACTTTCCAAAAACAACAGAAATGTATTTCATTACATCTTTAATCATACTCGGATCAAATCTCCAATAAAGAAATGGATAGGCGTACCTCATTTTGAAGATATTTATTTTGTTTTTGGAATGCCTTTTGTCGATGGAGAAAATTATGAAAAGGAAGAATTGCAATTTAGCAAAAAAATAATCCAAGCGTGGACATCATTTGCTAAAACTGGGTGAGTAGTAGACGTTAAGGATCTTGCAGTTATAACATACATGTATGAATTTTTTTTAACATATCAAGTAGTTATAAGTAGTTTTGAAAAATGGAAAATTTCCCTGATTCACTGGTAATTGATTGATTTCAAGTTCCCACCTCACCAACGAGATGGCCACTTGAAATTTTCTGGTTTTCTCACAAGTCTAACATCTGACTAGAGGTAAGTTTTCCATAGTAATTCTTCCGGAAGGTATTCGGTCTAAGCAAATTATCCAAGTTTTATGTTGCCGCACAGGGGCGTGCCGTGACATTTGATGATAGGGAAGCTGTGTTTCTATAACAAGCCGACTTCCAGGGGCAATCAGTTAATTCTTTCTTTAAATGTATTTTTAATAGATTATTTATCTGACGTATTTAATAAATAAACAAGTTCAATATAATTACCTCTGTTATTAGTTTCAATAGGTTTCCTTTGCCCTCTAAATGCCAATTCTTGCTTTGATAAAAACTCTTCGTGTTGGTAACACCTAACTAGAGGCCATTTTCCCATAAAAAATCTCTTGGAAGACAGCTTCCTCCTTTTCAAATCGTTCATGCGCCACATTGCCGTGTACGAATAAATAAAAATCAAATATCAACTTTTATAAGATTTTATGTAAAAGTATATCGTGAGAACACTACAATGTCGTTTTACTAAAGACAATTTATTACAACTACAAAAGAAATTCTATATTCAGTGTAAACTGTTGAAAAAATTACACCAGACTTTCTTAAATATATTTAATTAAAAGTATAGTTTTCAACCGACACTTTTAGGAAATGCGAAAACGTATGCAATAAAGAGAAACTTATTAAAGAGAATATTATTATTCTAAACAAACACTTTAAAATCTTTATTTCTGTTACAGAATTACAGATGAAGCTCTCAACTTTCGTTAGAAGTTCTTTGGTAATTTGGTTTATATTTCAGTGCATTCAACAATGTGCAAACACATCCATCAAAGACAAAATTACAGGAATTACGACTAAAGTTTTGGATAAATACATTAATGCATATTTAGGAATTCCATATGCAACACCTCCTGTCGGAGACTTGCGATTCAGTGAACCTCAACCCGTTAAAGATTGGGATTTTGTTTATAACGCAACGCAGAAATCCAATTATTGTATGCAAGATCCAATAAATCGGGAGGTGGAGTGGGCGAATATTGAAGGAAAGGAATTAAATGAGGATTGCCTGTATATTAATATTTGGGTTCCTACTTCGAAAACGTGCGGAGAATCATTTGCTACTATGGTCTGGATTCACGGAGGAGGTTTCAACGTCGGATCCGCGAATATGGATATATATGATGGAGCAGTAATTGCGTCCATAGGAAATGTCATCGTAGTTTCCTTCAATTATCGTATTGGTGCTTTTGGATATGCAAATTTCGATTCAGAAAATGCGGCTGTAAATGCGGGTATGTTGGATCAAGTGATGGCCTTAAAATGGGTCCATCAAAATATAGAATATTTCGGGGGTAATAAGGATTTAATAACTATTTTTGGAGAANCCGAATCGCTAGCCACGATATAAGGGCTAAAATTAAAAATAAAATTATAAAAACTTACTCGGTGAAATAAAATGTGTAGTGGATATACATACCTGGTACAAAACATTCTTCAATTGTATGAATATACTTTTAAAGAAAAATTATAAAATTAAATATAGCTTTGTAATGAAACGTACATAAAAATAACATAAAATATTCTTTACTCTTTAAATCTTAACCACATAGTCAATAGCTCCCTACGAGTGGAATCAGAGACGGTCCTGCTAGGTGTGCGGTGTGTACATGCACGTGAGCTGCCAAATCCCGAGGATGCCAATAGCAGTCAATGTCAAATGTCAAAAGACGCGACAGGGTCCTTGTAAATTTTAAACGTTTCTCACCATAGCTGTAAAAGTCTAAGTATGTTAAACTTAATAGATTGTCCGTCGTTTGTTTTCTAACTAATTCGTTTTAGGAGCAGGTGTTGTCCACGGAAATTTCCAAAATTTACAACTTTTCGGTCACTCTCGTCGAACTGGAAAAATGTTTGTCTTTGTTACATGTAATATTTCGAAAAAATCAGTCCCACTGTACTCGGCTAGAGAGTAGTTCGGTTAGGCTTTTGTTTAAGTAATATTTCGGCTCTTTCATCACGGTTTTGTTCATGTCCCCAATTCCCTAATCGCTTAATTATTTAACTACTTCTTAAGTAGAAATAAGTCGAAACCGATTACTTTGTACTCGAATATTTGTAGTCTCGGGAAAAAGTGGAAAGACAAATTTTTATGACAAACGGATACATAAATCGTAAATTTAAGGAAAATAAATTCTAGAGC